AATTCCAGCATCTTTGGATAAGTGTGCTTTGGTATCATAGGCCTAAGACCCTAAAACCATCGTAAAAAATGAGTATCACTTCAATAATCCTATAATAAAAAAAAAGGCACTAAGAAGTTTCGATATTTGGCCAAGGAAAAGTCTGCAGATTGCAAATGCTAACTATCAATTTCATAGGCAGAGCGTCTAGAAAATTGGACTAAATTCCATCCAAAAAATGAAAAATAGAACTGAGGAAATTGAGATTTACTTTCTGAACTACGCCAACTGCCGCTTGTAATGGGGACGACAAGTGTTCATAAGGAAGCCGGCACATTAATGAAAGACAAAAAATTATTAGCATTGTGCAGTCTGTAAGATCATAACCTAATAGAAGCGACAGATGAGTGTAAAGAAACTAAAAATGTATGTTGTATTTTGGTTTCAAAAAGAAAAAAGGAAATAAAACAAGAAAACAGGTGCATTGAGTTACTACATGACAGAACCTTTCCTGTTAGAAGCTCCCATAATACAACTCCGAAGCTAAAACACCAAAAACTTCGGAAAACATATTACCTGGATTCCTGTTGCAAAATAGCTCTCGATAGATTGGTAGACAGATGTCATAAACCTCCTAAGCACCTCCTCAACATCCAGAGGAGGAGCGCACTGGACAAGAAAAAACACCCATAAAAAAATATAAAATATTACATAGTCAAAACAAATATTATCAGAGATGTAAAAACAAAATAATCATGGGAAAAGAAAAACAAAATTACCACAGTATTGCAAGCACAGTAGGATTAATGGATAAGCAAGCCCCAACATAGTTTTCATCCTCAATTGCTTCAACTATGAATCTCAAATAAGATGCAGCAAATAACCAGTGTGGTCCATAAAAAAAAGAGAGTAATATCTTACAAATTTTAATAATTTTCCTTTTCTCCCTCTATTTCATCTCTTGTTTTCCAACAAAACTAAATTCATCTCTTGTTTTCCAACAAAACTATTTACTCTTGCAGAGAACCTGCCTTTCCGTAGTATCTTAAAAAATTTAGTAATCTGTAACCTCTCCCATTCTCTTGTTGGTGTTGTGCTTCATCATATTCTCAGGTGGCACATGACTCGATTTTCACAATTTCAACAATCAAACATTCAAAAAAATTTAGAAATTTAAAATGAGTTTGCACATCATTAGCCAATGGCCCATCATAGAAACTTCAGGATAAATTTGTTTAATGTTGGGGTTGAGTTTTAATAAACTACTATTGGCAATTGAACTACTAAATTTACAGATTTGTTAAGTTGATTTGTGTTTCAATTTTAGTATCACTTAAGAATATTTACTTCTTCCTAGTATCAAATAAGAAAAAAATCATACACAGTTGATCTGTGTTTCAATTTTATTATCACATAAAAATATTTACTTCTTCCTATTATCAAATAAGAAAAAAAATCATATACGACTGTAGGATTTTATCCCCCCCAACTGAATAAAAATACTAGTTCTGCCCCTAGTAGCCACAAATTGGATATCGTGGCATAGCAACATCCACCAAAAGAACAGCTGATGTGAAATGGCTACATGTTTGATAATGCAATCATGACCATCTATTTCTGCCATTCTATTTTACCATCTAATGTAATGGGTCATTCTAATTGTTAATACTAGATTGGAGATGCACATTATTACCAATATTGTGTTGACAAGTAAAATAGTAAGCATAATATGATATAAACATATGATAACTCATAGAGACCATGATTCGCAAATACTTATATCATCGTATGATCAAGACGATGACTGATACGGGAAACAATCATATACCTTTTGTTCTTTGAAAATAAAACCACCAGGCACTAATAGCCAATCCTACGCCTACATTTTTCATCTCCTCAAATTAGACACAGATTTCCAAGACGGTTTTTAAGCCATGCAATCTACAACTTCTCTTACCACACATAAGTATTCTGGACCCCAGCCCTTCATATATCAAGATGAAGAAAACCTTAGCATCCTCAAAAAGGTTAGTAATTCAAAGACTTTGAGAGTCCTTAGTGAGACCTTGTCGCCTTTCCACAAACAAAACCAAAAAAAAATATAAAGAAGAAGAATAAATAATCTGGCACTGATACTATGAGCAAATAGTTGCAAACATTTTTAAAAAAATCACAGCATTCCAAGATCGGCTTTGTACACAATTTAGGATACTTTTTTAAGAGAGCTCCAATAGATCCCGCTGACAAGGCCACAACTAAAGTACCTGCCCTTTTCATGATGTTCAACGAAGCTTTTCTATCAAATCATATCTTTCTCTCTTCTATTCCAAACTTTCTAACTCTACTTTTCCTACTTTATCTCCAAAATCTCCATACATATATATGCAACATGAAATAAATTCAATTCAATTTAATTCCAAATTCCAAATTCCGCCCAGGAACATATTTTCTCAATGCTCTTGTTGTTTGAGAAAAGGAGAAAAAGAGCCTAGTTCTAGATTGGCTTGTTCAGCTCACTGCACGTAAATGGAACAGAACCACGAACAAACTATACTTAACAAAAGCACAAACTACAGAAGCTACAGTTTAGAATCCAAATATCTTAAAATTTTAAAGCTTCTAAATTTTAGTCCACAAAACTTCCCTATTTCGAAACAAAGGAAAATTATGAATTTACAAATGTTCAAATCTGCAAAGCAAGAAAATACATATAAGGTCCAAAGCTGATCAAAATACTCCATCAATGGGATTATACAAAATCCAATGTCTACACATTGAACTTCTCTCATTTTTTTCGTCAACAAAACACCCTTTTTAAAGCAAACAAATATTAATTGACAAAAGAGAAAAGTTTTACTTTAGTTTTAATATACTATTATCGGCAATTGAACTATTAAATTTACAGATTTGTTAAGTTGATTTGTGTTTCAATTTTATTATCACATAAAAACATTTACTTCTTCCTATTATCAAATAAGAAAAAAAAAAATCATATACAACTGTAAGATTTTATCCCCAACTGAATAAAAATACTAGTTCTGCCCCTAGTGGCCACAAATTGGATATTATGGGGTAGCTACATCCACCACAAGAACAGTCGATGATATTTTCATTTAGTCCTAGAAGGCTGGAAACAAATGTGAAATGGCTACATGTTTGAGAATGCAATCATGATCATCTATTTCTACCATTTTATTTTACCATCTAATGTAATGGGTCATTCTAGTTGTTAATACTACATTGGAGATGTACATTATTACCAATATTGTGTCGACAAGTAAATTGTAAGTATAATATGATATAAACATATGATAACTCATATCGACCATGATTCATAAATACTTATATCATGGTATGATCAAGACAATGACTGATATGGGAAACAATCATATACCTTTTGTTCTTTGAAAATAAAACCACAAGGAACTAATTGCCAATCCTACACCTACATTTTTCATCTCCTCAAATCAGACACAAAGATTTGCAAGACAGTTCTACAACTCTTACCACACACAAGTATTCTGGACCCCAGCCCTTCATATATCAAGATAAAAAATCCTTAGCATCCTCAAAAAGGTCAGTAATTCAAAACTTTGAGAGTCCTTAGCGAGGCCTTGTAGCCTTGCCACAAACAAAACCAACAAAAATGAAGAAGGCATATTCTAGCGCTTTATCTGATACCATGAACAGGTAGTTGCAAATACGTTAAAAAAAATCATGGCATTCCAAGGTCTTCTTAGTTTCTGCTTTTTAAAAAAAGAGAGCTCCAATAGATCCTGCTGACAAGGCCGCAGCTGATGTACCTAACCTCTTCATTATATTCAACAAAGTTTTTCTATCAAATCATATCTTTCTCTCTTCTATTCCAAACTTTCTAACTCTCCTTTTCCTACTACTTTATCTTCAAATTCTCTCCATACATATACAAGCAATGTGAAATAGATTCAATTCAATTCCAAACCCTCTCATGAACATATTTTCTCAATATTCATGTTGTTTGAGAAAAGGAGAAAAAGAGCCTAGTTCTAGATTAGCTTGTCCAGTTCACCGCACGTAAGTGGAACAGAACCACACAAAATCTATACTTAACAAAAGCACAAACTACAGAAGCTACAGTTTAGAATCCAAATATCATAAATTTTAGGGTAAATTATACTGCCACCTCCTGAGGTTTATGTTTATTACAGCTCCCCCTCACATTTGGAAAATTACACTGACCCCCGTGTTAATTTAATTTTATGTATGATGATCATTACGGTGAGGGGGAACTGTTATGCAACTTTAAACCTCAGGGGGCAATCTGTAATGAAACTTTAAACCTCATGCGGGGGGATGTAATTTTCAAAAAGTGAGAGAAGAACTGTAATAAACATAAACCTCAGAGGGTGTCAATGTAATTTACCCTAAATTTTAAAAGCTTCTAAATTTTAGTCCACAAAACTTCCCTATTTCGAAACAAAGGAAAATTAACAAATTATAAATTTACAAATGTTCAAATATGCAAAGCAAGAAAACACATAAACTACAGAATAAGTGAGGTCCAAAGCCCATCAAAATACTCCCATTGGTGGGATTATACATAATCCAATGTTTACACATTGAACTTCTTGCATTTTCTTCGTCAACAAAACACAGTTTTTAAGCAAACAAATATTCATTGGCAAAAGAGAAAAATGTGACTTGAGCTTGCCACGAAGAATAATAGCATTAAAGATCAGCTTACCACGAAGAAAACACATAAAATACAGAATAAGTGAGGTCCAAAGCCCATCAAAATACTCCCATTGGTGGGAGTATACATAATCCAATGTTTACACATTGAACTTCTTGCATTTTCTTCGTCAACAAAACACAGTTTTTAAGCAAACAAATATTCATTGGCAAAAGAGAAAAGTGTTACTTGAGCTTGCCATGAAGAATAATAGCATTAAAGATCAGTTGCCAGAATAAGAAAAAGAAAGATGAAGCCCATAGCACATCAAACATTATAGTTAATGAACAACATTATGCAAAATTGTAGATGTCAAATATGCATTCTTCCCATGTAAAAACAATTGATCAAGTATCTAATATATAAAGAAAACAGTTACAAATCTATTTACAAATAGAATTAAGTAAAAATGGTTCTAGTAATAATTAGAATGTACAAACAGTGTATTTGTTTTCATTGCACTTCATAAGTTGGAAAGATATCATTGTCGCCATCATTGTCATTGTCATCATCATCGTCGTCATTCATGTCGAGATACTTGAAGGTAACATCATCGCTCTTTGGGTCCGGGTAATGGAAGCTCGGGTTCACATAGCATTTCAACCCATGAAAGAGGTTCAGATTATCCACCAGCTTATGAAAAACATTGCATCCACAACACTACAAAACATCAAACAATCCACAACTAAACATACATATACACATACAAACACAAACACATAAATACACATATACATATGATTTCTAAATTACCTGCACGAAGACGGTGCCATCAGTGTATGCGTGGGGATTGATGGCGCGGGTAGTCCTTTGGCCACAAACGTTGCAAGTGAAGGCGACGAGCATCCTCCGACGTGGAGATTTGGTGAAGAGGGACCAGGGGAACGTAGAGACCCTCTCCATACCGGAATTCGGCTCAGCTCCGGCGGGGACAGAAGGACCTTCCATGCCGGAATCGGTCGTCCAACCTCTCACAGACGCCGCACTCAGAACTAATCCCATCGCCGCATCCTAAAAATACCCAATTTATCCCAAAAACAAAAAACCCGAAATTTATCTTTTCCTTAACAAATTCATAATCCAAACATAGACTAAATCACGAATTGATCAAAGAATTTGAGAGCGAGTAGTGTAGTTTGATTACCTGGGAGAGAGTTCGATTACTGAGAATTGGGACGAGACTTGAGTCGTAAGAATCGGAATGAAGATCGGATTCGTTACTGTTATCTGAACCAATTGGAAATTTTTGTTTAAAAAAAAAACAAAAAACACAAACACAAACACAAACACAAAAAGGCGGCGTAGAGAGAGAAGAGATAGAGAATTGAAGAGGGGCTTACTCTTGGAAGAGGTGGGAAGGCGAAGGAACCTTCTCGATTGTGATGATGATGAAGAGTCTTTGGTTATGGGGAAGAAAATCGGAAGGCAAGAAGGCGTGGAAGAGACGATCGTCGCAGGGGAGGTTAGTGCTTTCATGGTCTGAAATCCTAACAAGATGATAATGATAATGATAATGATAATGATAATGATGAAGAATTGCAGAGAAGGTTAATTTGCTGATACTGGTTGTTGTCTGGGTTTTGATTTGATCAACCTGATTCTCAAGAGTTGAGGCTTTGATCTTTGTCGAAGGGTTGTGATTGTGGGGTAGAGTAATCTAGAAGAGCAATGTTAGGATGCTCACAACAATCTTGTTAGGCTCCGTTTGGGAAGAGTTATTTGTGGTTTTTTTTTTTTTTTTTTTGATTATTTTAGTCATAAAAGATAAAATAGATTATTTTAGTTACAGAAAATAAAATATCACATCTAACTCATAATCATTATATTGTTTTTTTACAAAAAAAAAAAAAAAAGAAAAAAAATCATTCTCAAACAAAATTTTTTAACCCAAACTAAAATAATTAAAAAAATCAAAAAATTAAAAACTAACCCCTTTTTAAACGACACTTATAACTTGACGTGGAGAATATAAAAGTGATGACTGATCTTATAAAAAACGTGTGAGTTTTATGAACAAGTTTTATGAGTATATTAATAAGATTGGAAGTATCCTTAACCTGGTTAAATCTAGAATCACAAATCTAGGGTTGTTTTGAGAAGATGGTAAAAAGTGGCTTTTTGATTTTTAACTAAGCTTTTGATTTTTTTAGACAAATGATTTGGAAAGTTGGTAAAAAGTGACTTTTAACTTTTTTGATTAATATTTGTTTATGATGTCAAATCATAATAAAATGACTAAACTACCCTCATTTATTTAAAATATTTATAACTGAACCTATGTAACACATTGTGACCTATGAGGGGTAAAATTGTAATTGCACCGTTGGCTAAAAACCAACTTGCCAAGGGTTGTTTTGGGAAGTTGGTTAAAAGTGATTTTTTGGCTTTTAACCAAGCTTTTGGCTTTTTTAGACAAATGATTTGGTTTTTTTTTTTTTTTTCAATGTAATTTTTTTATTAAGAATTGTTGACTTTTATATAAGTGGGGGTTGTGAAATAAGACAATTAATTGCTGTGATGAGAATGTAGTTTCTAAAACGTTCGAGGGTGGGATATAATTGGACCAAATCTCAAAAAATAACAGTGTGATTTACCTTTAGAAAAATTATAATCCTAATCAAATTGTTAATATATTAAATTGTATTAGAATTTAATTATAGAAACTTGTTTGATTCAATTCAATTTACGATTTTATAAATTTTATATAATAATAAATATGATACATATTTTATATTAATAAATAAATTAATAATCATTAATTTGATTAAATTGATTGGAGTTTATTAATTTTACAATGATGATGACTAGGGTTTGAATTTTACAAAAAATATTTTATATAAAAATATAAAAAATAACAAATAAATATGTCAATATGTTTCAATTCTTTCATCAAATTTGATGAAAAAGGTAATCTTCAATACTTTAATGAATTAAAATTTAATGAATTCAAAAAAATTATGTTCATCAAATTTTATGTTTTCAAGTTCAAACCACATATCACGCAAATGAATTCTCATTTTGATATCAATATATGTCGACAAAATACAAACTACATACACACACATATATATATATATATACATATATATGTATATCTATGTATCGACTGATACATACATACACATACATATATCTATCACCAGAGAGAGAGAGAGAGAGAGAGAGAGAGAGAGAGAGAGACAACGTACGAAGATATCGCCTGTACACACAGATTCAAATCGCACAACCAGATCCACCTCACAGCACAATGAGATCGACCACACAGCACAATGAGATCGCCACAACGAAGAGAAATCGAGATCGCGGAGACGAAGATTTGATTTCCTTTTTTTCAACGAAGCAAAAATTTGATTTCTCACGTACATATAGATCTCAAAACAAAGGGTAACACAGTCATTTAAAAATACGAAAATAAAAAACGGGACCTCTGGGTATAAAACTAAAAAAACTGTGGACCTATTAAACTATTAAAAATAAATTGGGATTAGAAGGGAAATAGATCCCCTACATAGGACTACATGGTAATTTTCCCAAAATTGAAAAAGTCAAAAAATTATAAATATATATATATTACTATTTATAAATTAAAAATATAAAAAAATTAATATCCATAATATTTTAATCAAACCAACTTTATACAGTTTTCGGAATTGACTTGACCCCTTTAGTACTGTGACAGGAAAAAAAAAATTACATATATAAAATCACTAAGTTGGAACGGTAATGTTAGGCCCGTGGGGCCCACACGGGTCCCGTTTTGATAATCCGAATCGTTTAATGTGTAGAAATTATTCAGAACTATATGCTTGTAAAAAATCACGTTGATCGGCATTGTTAACTACATGATCAAATCAATTTTGTATAAAAAATAAATGGTGTTATAGTTAACAGCTGAAAAAAAAAACTAACACGATTAGATAGCTATCGATATTCAATCAACGTGATTTTTTGCAAGCATATAGTACTTGACGAGTTCTACACATTGAACGGTTCCGATTAGCAAAACAGGACCTGTGATGGCCCCCCATAGGCCGAATAGCACCATCCAATTCAAACCCAAAAAGGAGACAATCATTTTTCCGTCTCCTAACCCTCCTACTGCCCTGCCCAACCTGTATGCCTACTCCACTAATTTCTCATACACACTTATTTATATATCTTTTTAATACACATTTTTTCATAAAAATTCAAAAAGTTAACCCAAACATCCATTTTTTTTTCCTCTCAACTCTTTAGTCTAAAAAAATAAAAAATGCATTTATTTAAGACACCCTAAACAATCCCTAAGTTGCACTAGTTAAAATCACACTCCATCCAATTAATTTAAAATATTTTTTAAACTTTAATTAATTATTATTTGAAAACTTAAAATTATATCAATTAGAAAGTACATGATATAACATGATAAATTTTTTTCATATTTCCCATTTGAGAACAAGTTTTTTTTTAGTAATTTTTTGGTTTTTTAACTAAAATATGATGTAAAAAAATTAGTATGTTTTAAATGATTTTTTAATTTTTTATAAAACGATGTGCAAAAAGTAAAAAGAAAATGAAATATTTGACTTTTTGGTATATGTTGTTAGTTTTTTGATTTTTTTAGTGACTTCTTAATTTTTTTTTAAAAAAATGATATTGCTAAACTAGACTTTAATAATGAATTAAACTAAATTGACTTAATTAGTAACGTTGAAAATTCTATGCTAAAAAAAAATTAAAAATTTAGCCTTCACATTAAAGATTTCAAAAGTTTGTATGAAAACTAAAACAAAATTGGACGGATTAAATAGCAAAAAATTAAAAAAATTTGAGGGGGTCACATTATAAAGCATTCGTTTGGCATGTAAGTTTGAGAGGTGTTTTTTTAGGCTATTTTAGTTGCAAAAAGATAAAATAAATTAAAAAGTCAATAAGTTAAAATGTCACATCTTAATTATAATTATTTTATTTTTTTCTCTCACAAAAGTCAAAAAAGTCAAAAATTTATTACAAACTAAACTTTTTAGTCTTAAGTTAAAATAACTAAAAAGTCAAAAAAACCAATCTATATTCCAAACAAATCCAAAATTAAACCGACAAATTAGTTTATCCAATTTTTGTAGGCTGCAGACGGGACTTTGCTGATGGGCTACGCAACCGACACGACCTTGTGCAACGGAATAGGTCCAGACCTAGGCCCAGAAGATTTTGGGCTGCACCCTTACTTTTTGAAATATGTGGGCAAGGCCATCTCTTCATTAAATTTCTCTATCAATCTGCGTACAAAAAAGCAATGTTAGACCACCTCCAACCCTGAACTAAACTTGTCATTAAATTTAAAATTTGGTAAAAAAATCACTTTTTCATGTTCTAACGGTTTCACCAAACCGGTATCAAATTCAAAATTCATCAAACAAATCATCAAAGTGAGGACAGGCTCCGTATTTCACCAAAACACTGTACATGATCGTTGGGGAAGACGAACCGGTCGACCAGTCGGTTGACCATAAAAGGGTTCAAACAGTTCCAAAAAAAAGTTCAAACAGCTAAAAAAAAAAAAAAATTCCCTTACCAGTCGACCGGCCGGTCGACCAACCGGTCAACCACCACAGGGTTCAAACAGTTCAAAAAAATTGGTTCAAACAGTTCAAAAAAAAAATTCCTCTTACCGGTCGACCAGTCGGTCGACCAACCGGTTGTTCCCGGAGCAAATTTGATAAAAGTAAAGGGTTGGAGCCAGTGATATCAAATTGAGAAAAGCATCATTTTTTCATCAGATTTGATGACAAAAGAAGTTCAGGTTGGAGATGCTCTTAGACCATCTCCAACCTGAACCAAACCTGTCATCAAATTTAAAATTTGGTGAAAAAATCACTTTTTCATACTCCAACGGTTTCACCAAACCGATATCAAATTCAGAATTCATCAAACAAATCATCAAAGTGAGGACAGGCTCCGCATTTCACCAAAACACTGTACATGACCGTTAGGGAAGACGAACCGGTCGACCAGCGGGTTGACCATAAAAGGGTTCAAACAGTTTTAAAAAAAAGTTCAAACAGTTAAAAAAAAAAAAAAAATTGCTTTATCGGTCGACCACCACAGGGTTCAAACAGTTCAAAAAAAAAAAAAATTCCTCTTACCAGTCAACCAGCCGATCGACTAATCGGTTGTCCTCGGAACAAATTTGATAAAAAGTAAAGGGTTGGAGCCAGTGGTATCAAATTGAAAAAAACATCATTTTTTTCATCAGATTTGATGACAAAAGAAGTTCAGGGTTGGAGATACTCTTAGGGATACAAAACAAATTATTAATTTTTTAAAGTAATATTTAAGGGTATTTTGGGAAATTTATTAAAAATTAGTTTTTGACTTTTAACCAAACTTTTTGATTTTTTTGAAAGATGATTTGTGAAGTTGATAAAAAATTACTTTTTTACTTTTTGAGTTAACATTTATTTATAATGTCACATCACCATGTCATAGTGTAAAAAGATCAAAATACCCCTTCCCCATTTGGTAATTATAGAATTTCATCATCTCAATCTCTAGTACCTTAAATAGTGAATGGAGGGTATATTCATAAATTGTCATCTTGCGTTTAACCAGCCTCCCAAATGGGTTTGTACACAAAAAAGCTAACGTTTACCTTTTTGAACAAACGCACAAGCGCAGCTTCTAACCAC